ATTGTAACATTCAAATTTGCTTTGTATTTGAATGACATTGTGATAATTGGATGGAGTTTTCAAATTATAATGATGTAATAGGAAAAGAAATGAAAGTAGTATGCTATAATAATAAACAAAGCAATGGAAATATGTTGCTATTTCTTGCATTTAACACTTTATCTTGATGGTTTATTTGATTGGGGTGATTTTATTTGATATGATAGGAGAGGGTTTATCCATGGTGTCGATCAAATGATGGTTGTGTACAAGGATTGTGAAGATGGTTCGACTCTTGTTCATGGCTAGATGGAAGCTTTAGGTAAGAAGTTTTTGGATACTTATATTGTTTTTGACATCCATATATTTAACTTTTAATCTACAAATTGTTGCTATTCTTGCCAAATTTTGAATTAAAAGAATAAATTTGACCCTTAAAAGTCAAACAAAGACCCTTTCTTTGGAGATTGTAGTAATATTGTGGGTGGTTTTGCAGGGAACTTTGGAGATATGGTTTGTGGCAGGAGGTGGAGTGAAGTGGTGGTATTGTGGTTGACTTTTTGTTGTAGTTTGACTTTAGTAGTAGTAGTATTGGTTTTGTTTAAAAGAAAATGCTTAATGATTAACATGTACTTTAGGATGAATATTAGGTCAAGAATTCAACAATGGGCATTTATAATATAAGAAAAAAAATCCATGTCAACCAACTCAAAAATTAAATAATCAGAATCAACCAACTAACCGGTTTGGTCGTGTATCTTAAGAATTTGTATGCATTAATGAGAATGTGTTTTAGGAAAGCTAAAATAAATGGTGCAAGTAAGAATAAGTGTTGGTATTGGCCTTTATTTGTGAAGATAAAGATTTGATTACTTTTGTCATAAAGGAAGTAATATATGCTAAAGTTGCCAAAATGAGTAAATGTTGATAAAAGCTTGATGAATCTCCTATTTCCTATGTGTTCATTCAATATACACCACATTTTGAAGCAAAGCATAAAAGTTGGACAACTCATAAAGGCGATAAACTATTGTACATGAAAATTTTCAGATCTACGAGTTCAAGATATGTTCTTATTTATATTTTTATTAAGCTTTGGAGTACATTTATGAGCTTAGCATTGAGCGAAGAGTTTATGTTGTTGTAAATGTAACCATAAATGGAATCAGTAAAGAACAAACATTGCAGGGAAAATCGCAGACACAAGAATTGGGTATCATAAAATCGAAAATGAGAAAGATGGGATTTTATGGGTATAAAGACAGAAGATAAATGAATGATCAAAAAATATGATTAGAAATGTTTTATTATAGTTTTGTACAAATAATTTTAAATATTCTAAAACTTATAAATAAAGGAAAGACTAAGGTCTCGTTTGATAGACATATTTTCAGATCCAAACAGATATTTCTACCTGAATGGACCGGAAAGACTGTTTAATTTGCATAAAAAAATCTTTCCCGATAAGATATGTTGTTTTCAGAAAGCCTCAAAACCATATCTTTCTGACTGAATGGGCCGGAAAGACAATTGTGCCTCAAACCTCGCATTTTTCTTTCTTGGATTATTACTGTCTTTTAAATAATATTATTTTTAATATATCTTATTTATGTATTAATAAATATTATTTTATTAGATTATTAATTTATTTAAAAAAAAATCTTTTTTTAAATTTTTTTATTGGATTATCATATATTAATAAATATGATCTATAAATCTATAATATATAATATTTATATATTATTAAATATTACTTTATTGGATTATTAATTTCTTTTAGTTAATTCTTTCAACCATTTTTATTGGATTAATTCTTTTTTTTTTGGAAAACACCACTATCGGACATAAACCGGGTTAATACTCACTCTTGTTATGCTATATGGAGTTGATATTATTACTGTACTTGCTTAGTGTATACATCATAGTTGTATATAACTAAGATTTTATAGTCTGAGAAAGTTTTATTTAGCCTTATTTTTTATTTCTTGTCTGGTTGTGGGCTTAGGGTAGAATCAAGTATTCGGCTGTTTATCGAATCTAGTGTTATGTATAATTAGCATACACGAGCATCTGCAGGGTTAGTGAAAGTTTCATGAGTGAGCATAGGTTGTAGTATGCCATCTTGAGGGATGATTAGCCATTCTCGAGGGAGTGAGTATAGGATGTATGCATATCCTAATTGTTGGGCTTTGTAGCCGGGTAGTCTGTGACAATCCCTTAAGATAAATACGGGTATACGTGGAAGGTAGTATGAGTCCGTACTACTGGAAGCACAAGACCCGTATGCATAGCAAGGAAGTCACGAACCCTGAGGGTTTAATCTTCCTATAATGTTGTAATAGTATGAATTGTGCCTTTTCTGATTTAATCTAGTTTGTTTTTCAGTATGTCGTTCACTAGAGGTTCTAGATCTGGAGCGGGCGGTCTGGAGAGGCCATGATTGACATATAAAGACATTCGGGAGATGCACCACTCAGGTGACTATGGTTGTTATGGAGGCAATCCCGGAGGTCTTTGGGTCTATTAATGTAACGCCCACGTTTCTCACTAGACATTAATAAGATAATGCAATAATTAGGATCAACAATTGTAACCTATTTAGTGTGATAAGGGAAAATTTTGGTGAATATTAGGTGTTTTATGCGTAAAATATTTGTAGTATACGTGCTTATAACAAAATATTAAAATAGAAACAAAATACACGTCTAAATAGAGTAATAATTAGGATGCATATTCTTGATGAAAGTTGACGTAACCATGACAAGGATTCCGGAGATATAAGAAACGCTTAAATCCGACTTATAACGAAGGAGTTATGATTCGTTGAAGTTTCGTGTTCGACCCGATACGACTACAAATATCGTAAATGGTGAGTCGGAGATAGATCGTTTTTTAGCCAATCTAAATGAAAGTTGTAGTAGTTATTAAACCGAGAGCGTACATATAAAGAACGTCAAATCTGACTTTATTAGAGGAAGTTATGATTTTTCTAAGATTCAGTATAACAGTATATAGCTCAGAAATCGAATTTTAGATTGGTTGATTTTTAGCCGAAACAATCTAAACAAGAATCAGAGATCTCGTTAATAGGATTCTGTCGATATAAAGACAGTCGAGAACGAGCGTTAGACGAGAAAGTTATGAATTTTTAACGGACTTTAACAGTCTAACCAATTAAAAATATAACTTTAAAAATAAATCAAAATTAGTCGACGGAGTCTAAACGAAAGTTGTAGATCTCGTTGATAGCTACGCGTGGATATAAAAACTGTCGAAAACGGAACTCGTATGAAGAAGCTATGAGCTTTGTAAGATTTTATAAAAATCTGCGTGCAGTTGCGCGCACAGACAAGATGTGCTGCGCGCATCGACAACCCACGAGATTGCGACACATGTCACCACTAGATGAACGCCATGTCACCACCCCCGACAGGATGTGCAGCGCGCATTGCTTTTTCGGAATTTAACGAAAATTCGCCTTTTAAGCTAAAAAACTATGTAAAAATTTTATAATTAGAGGTAAAAATAGGTTTTTTAAATCATTTAATGAACGGAAAACGGACACTAAACAAATAAATAAAAATAATTTTGATATCAAGCATTATATTCATTTGGAACTTGGGCTGCGTGAGTATGTTTTTAGAGGGTAGACGTGAACGTGATTTCAATGGAAGCTATGATCGACGCACAAAATGGTAAAAAATGTTAAAGATGAAGAATTTATTTGAGGGTGAACTATGGTAGAGATATATGGATGGAAAACATGGAGGAGATTGAAGTGGACGAGGCGGCGGAGAAGGACATGAATAGTGGAGAGGGATTTTGTATAAATAATATGTTTCTCCTTTTTAGAAGGATTCATTATATTATGCAAACTGACCTTTTTTAAAAGGATTATGTATATTATGTGAAACATGTGGTCTTTGTTAAAATGGTTTATGGATCTAGTCTTAGCAACTGGGAGTTTTAGTTACAATGTATATAGACACCGGACTTTTATGAGAACCACCTAGTTAAGGGTGTCAAATCGAACAATTGTATCGTGTTTTTATAATATGACACGACACACAACTTTTTATATAATACGAACATAACACGACATAATATCATGTTACTTTCAACTAAGATAAAAATGACCAAATTGAAACGACAAAGACAACATAAAATATCTTTAGTTTATTTAATTTATACTTGATCATACAAAACATAACAACCAAGATAAATTTCAAAACACGACAAACGTATATTGAGTTACTAACCTAAAAACAAAGATCGTAGTTAGCATTTTACGTCCAAATTTGCTCATTCTTCCGCTTATAGCGTGCATCTTTTTGCATTTTCGCGAAAGTCCACACACAAAGGATACTAAAAGACGAGACAACTTCATCTAGCATCTTAATTTGAGAGTGTGTTTGGCAAAACTAGCTAGTAACAGGTAGCTTTTGATTTTGAAGCGTTTTATTTAGGCTAAAGGCTAAACGCTCCTATCGCCAAACGGAACTTTTTCTTTTTTTACAAGCATTTTTCTTAAAAGCTAGAAGCTCCAAAACGATGCGTGCCGAACACGCCCCGAGTCTAAGTTTGCTATCTATCTCTACAATGTCACACATATTAAACTCCAAAAGTTCCATATCAAGTTCTAAGTGATAATTGAACTACATCCTTATTGAAAGAGAGAAATTACAAGTGTTCTTGATAGAAAAACATTTAACAACAAAACAATGAGTATGTGAAAATAAAAGCTAGCTAAAAAAACCCTAAAAGGCTAAAGACTAAAGGAGCCAAGACAAGTGGGTTAATAATAAAAATGTGCTACCATAAATATACACGATAACACTAACTTAGTTTTTAAACTATAAAATAACAATTATATTGCAATATTCATCAAGGGTTAACAACTTAATAACAACTGAACAAAATAATACATAATTTTCACAACTAACCAAAATCAAAAGTTGATTGGTTAACACCCTCTTCAAAAGTCGAAACAAGTATGCGTCCTAAGTGGAACAATCTTTTCATTATATGATTGCCTCTAAACCAAGCCGGAAGTGTTTCAATTCTTGAATCCTCTTTTTCTCTTCACTCATCCCCTGTTTCTCAAGCTCCATCTCCAAAACCTTAAACATCGTATCATAAACCTCAAACCCTTTCATAACCGCATCCTCCAAAAACAAACACGCATGTTTAACTTTCCCACTCTTACACAACCCACGAACCAAAAGACTATAAGTCCCAATTCCCACACTCACATTATTCTCCAACATATGATTCAACAAAAAAGAAATCACCTTCATTCTCTTCAACTTACAACACATCTTCAACAATGGAGCGTATGTGTCAAAGTCCATCTTCACATTATTCATTTCCATTTCGTGTAGCATCTTAAGTGCATCCTCTTCTTGTGTGTTTCCACAAAAGCTAGTGATCATGGTGTTGTAGGATTGCGTGTCGTGTGTAGCTCCTTGACTAGGCATTTCATCGAACACTTGGCGAGCGTCCAACAATCTCCCAGATTTTGATAGAATGCTGATTAACGAATTGTAAAAAGATGTATCGAGGATGCAATTTGACTTTATTTTTTCGTAAATGTTCAACGCTTTTTCGATTTCTTTTGATTTACCAAGGGCATGCATGACAATCGTGTATGTGATGACATTTGGAGGGCACCCTTTTTCTTGCATTTCTTCAAGAATTTCATCAACTTTCTTGAAATCCTTTTCACGAGAGTAAGCTTCTATTAAAGACGTATAGGAGACAACATCGGGACAAATCCCATGTTCCTTCATTTCTTCCATGGTGGTTTGAGCTTTTTCAAAGTTCCTAGCTTTAGACCACCCGTGTATTAATGAATTAAAAGTATGCGAATTTGGAGGGATTTCGTTCTTGAATTCTTGATATATATCATTTGCACGTTCCACATTCTTCTCTTTTGCTAATGAATCGATCAACATGTTCAATGTTGAAATATCTTTTTTAACCCCGAATTGTTCAATTCTTCTGAATGTATTAATGGATTCTTCATGGGATCCGGCTTTTCCAAGTCTTCTTATGACTTCTGCCATGGTGTTGACTGTAACATAACTAAGATGAACCATTTTTTCCACTACTTCCCACATGAGATCAAACTTTCTTGATTTTCCCAAAGAGTGTACCAATAAGTTATACATATCGGGTGAAAACTTGGAACCCATTTGGGATTCAGCCCAAATGAAAACACCATAAGCTGATTTCCAGTTATTATCAAATCTTTTCAAGATTTGAGAAACTAAATATTCTGATGGTGTAACACCAGAGTTGTTCAAAACTTGTATGACAGAATCAAGTGATTCAAAGGGCTTCACCAGAAGTTTAGTTATTTTTTTTACATCACTCTCGGTGTCATTACTTACTGTGATTTTATCCTGTTCTTTGGATTCACTTCGTTTGTAATTTTCCATCCATGAAGATAATGAAGGGAGGACAAAATCGTCCTCAGGGGTTTTCGTGATCTTGGTATTATTGTTTTCCGAAATTCTAACCCAATTTGGAAGTTCAGGAGATTCAGTCACCTCTAATGGATCATCAGTTTTTGGGGATTCAATCAAGGTACAAAATGAACTGAATAAAGAATCACGAAGTTGAATTGCATTTAAGCCTGTTATTGACCTTGATGAACACGAATTCATCATGAAAAGCTTCAGTTTTGAGGTCGCCATTATGTTGATCTTAACACCTCTGCTGTCTGCAAAGGTAGTAAGAAGATATTGATTTCGCAACTTCAAACTAGAATATTCATATGATAGTTGTAAAATTTGGTATAATTATCACGATTTTTCGAACAATTTGCTGCTTACAAACATTTTGAAAATGAAAATCAGTTAATATGACCTTCAATTTCAAATTCAAAATGCAGGGGCAATCAAGAATACACAGAGACGTACATAAAAAAAAATTAGGTACGAAAATTTGAGCTACAAAGATAAAGGTATGTACCTTACAAAAACGATGAGCAAAATGGAAGTGGTGGAGATGACGGCGCTATCGCCGAGGCTGCGGCTGCAGCGGCGGTTGCACGGAGTTGCAGAGACAAAGAAAGAGGAGAGAAATAAAAGAAGTGGCTTTCATGCTGGATTACTATGAAGGTGTTGAGGTCTTTAGCCCAAACATATTTCGACCTTTTGTAGATTCAAGCCCAAAGAAAACTTTTATATATTGTTAGCATATTTAAATTTCAAATATGCTTATCAACTATAATTCTATAAATATATTTTTTATATGTAATTTATTACAATATTTTTAGTCATAATTATCCAAATAATTTTTTTTTTATCTTGATGAAAAAAAGTAGATAATTTGGTTTTTAAGAATTACTTGTGTAACATCTCTATATATATTAAACCAGAAACCTAATGACATCACTTGCAAAAATCAGGGCCATTTATTGGGTTTCATTCATTCATCTCAACCCTAGGATCATTTTGATGATGTAACGCCTCATCCTCACAAAAAAAAAAAAACACGCCTACACCATTTTGTAACTTTGTAACGCCTTATATCAACGTTCGTCAAACCCCTACGTATTAGTCTCCTCCTACTTCGGTAGCAATTTGTTACCACCATCTTCCCTCACCTTCACCTTTATTCAATCTTCTTCTTCACGAGCCATTCAGACGGACATATTGACCAATCAGAAGACACAGAAAGGGTTTTGTGTTTGGGGGAAAGGGTTTCCACTTTAGATGTCATTTCGGTTCGAACAGTCGCTTCGATTTTGTAATTTAGTATGTACAAACTTTTAGTTGGATGACCATATTCATTCAATTGTATGATCGGTGATTATTATTCACAAAGGACCTTGGTTCAGATGCCACCATTGAATTCTCAAAAAACATTCAGGCAAGCTCCTTCAATCTTGAACTGCTCCCCTGTCTTATCCAAGTTAAAGTTCTTTTCAATACCAATCTTTTTTGGACTTATTGCTATCAAAACCTACAAATGGCGTTGAGAAAACTTTTACTCTTCCAATCCCATTCTTGATAAAATCCTTCCAATCTACAAGTATACTTATTTTTCTTTATCATTTTCATGTTCTTTACAAATTAAGTGGGATTCCATTTTCATTACAACAAGAACTACCCATGTAGGGAAGTCATTGTCGCATTGAAGGAAGCAGGTGCTACATGGATCCAGTTTGATGAAGCTTCCCTTCTGAAGGATCTTGAGGGCTGCCAATTGGAAGCTTTCAGTAAGGCCTACTATGAACTAGATCAGGTACTCTAGAACTACCAAACCTTTGTTTCTCTATCCATTTCTTTTTGTACTTAATTTTTATACATATAAGAAGTGTGAAACATATTGCTGACTCCTAAAGTTGTTTTGGTTTATAATTTCTAGGTTTTATGTTCTTCATGACCATTCTCAACCAGATGTGCTAGAAGTGAAAGGTTATTCAATTTCACTATTTATGATTGAGAAATGCAGTTTAATCTATTATTTAGGCTAGCCTAAAACTTTATTTACTTAATTTTGTTGTATTACTGAAGTGTTTAATGATTAATCACTTGATCCAAAATTGATGGTCATGAAAAATGTGCTCACAGCTTTGTACTTGAGAAGGCTATTGATATGATTTAAGAAAAATAAGATTCTGGTGAAGTTGGTCATCTTAGGTAGAACTGGATGTCATAGCTAAGTGGTAAGTTCGTTCATTACATTTTCTTTGTTTATTTGGGCACCGGATCTCTTGGGTTTCTTGAGTATAAACCATATTATGCTTGTAAGCTGCAAATTTTATGTATTACTATGCATTAGCTTGGCATAATTAGTTATGGATGCATATATATATATATATATATATATATATATATATATATATATATATATATATATATATAATTCTAAAAATTAAACTAATGCTTACTAGATAAGAATTGTTGTTGATAAAATCATTTTAACTAAAGTTCCATTATTATTTTTTTCTTAATTCTGTTAAATAAGTGAAAGATTAGGAAACTAATAATTTATTCTTAAACAAAGGATGCAGAGCAAGAACCATGTTGATGGGGGAGGTGTTTGGAAAATTAAGCAATACAAGTATTTATATTAACAATAAATGTAATAATCATTACATCTTAGAAGGTAGGGTGGAGGGTAAAATAGCCCATTTCAGATTCAGGGTTATTCATGGGATGGGGAGGGGTATATTGGTCATTTTAAAGAAGATAGTGATTTTACTTCAACAACCTAACAACACATGAAAGAAGGGCTCCACTACATGTTATATATTTTGTTATCTTGTGACACGAAGTCATTATATCATTATGGGAGGTCAAAACATGCTCAATAAAAAATGAGTAACTTTTATTAAATGTACGTAGGGAATTTTTCATCTCTCCAACACATTATATGGGTTAATTTTCAATGCCATGCATAATTTTCTCAGGAGAGAGCATCTACTGGTTAAGTTACTCACATGCAGAGTAGATGATTCTGCTTTGTCTGTTGTAGCTATGACTGATGAAAGTTGTCTTCTTCCTTATCCCTATAACCAATCATTCACCTTTTGTTTAAAAATATAATTTTAACAAACCCTTCAATCCATGTTGATCAATGACGTATGTTTGTTTTTTATTTCTTTTTATTTGGTTTTATCTTATGGATTATTTGACCTTTTCATTTTCTTAAACAATAAACATACAGTTTATATAAGCTACATTGGTAGAGCTATTTATCTCTAGCTGTATTTTGAGTTTTTTTTGAATAAAGATGAAAATTTGGCTCGACCCATTAGGAATCCATGCCCATATATTTCTTTACCACAACAATCCTATAGTATTTATAAAGATGTGAAATAAGGGCCTCAAAGAAACTTGAAGTGATATTGCGATGACTTCTGCTTGTAGATCTTATTGAATATCTATGGAAATGTCATTCGTTTCTTCTATTCCTACTATATGATGATATTTCATTTCATCATAGATACAGTTGAAGACCGGTTTGCAATTGCAACTAATAATATTTATTTCTATACAAAGTTCTTTTGTCGCCTCAAAAAGAATAAAACTAAAATATAATTTTTTTGTTATGTGAGTTGTTAATTATGCGTATAGAATATGTTTGATTAATATCTTCAACAATTGTAGCATAGTAAATTTCCAATGTCTTCGAATATTTACACATTTTTCTTTAATACAATAATATATTTTATAATAAACGTAAAGACAATTTTAAAAACCATATACTATTATTTGGACTTATGAAAATTAAAACACTGTAAATATCTATTATTTAAAATAGAGAAATTTATATTTAACAATGTAATCAAACATCTTTAACAATGTTTGTGGTTCATCATTTATCATAGTTGTAGACGTCATAAATTATATATTGGTAATTTCAATTATGTTGATAAATATAGTTGGCAAATATTAGTTTCATAAATATATTGTTAAGATTAATTTGTTGATGGAATCAGTTATGTATTATCTTAATTAAAAGATATTTTGAATTTTTTGTTTATCTATCAAAGAAATTGACAAATTATTATAGATTGACAATATATTATTAAGATTAATTTGTTTTTGGTGAAATTAGAAAACATGACTCTTATTGATAATTGTTTAGATATAGTAAACAATTTGCCACTTATATAATCTTTAATCAAACATAAATCAGACTGATCCACCCCCTAAATTTTGCCAAGATTAGATCAAACTTACTATATTTAATTGTTGACTATATCGGTGGTCCTAATGATGGTGAAGTTGAAGTTGAATTTCCAGAAGATGTCATCGTTCTTTCTACGGGTGACCATATTCATTCAATTGTATCCTGCATTTATTCATCCTTTTAGAGCCATCTTGATGATCCATCGTATTTTCAAGATAAAGCTATTTTGGTCCCTATTAATGAAGAAGTTGATGCTATTAACGACTACATGTTAGAATTGATGAAAGATGAAGGGAAAACATATCTGAGTTCAGATTCCTTATGTGAGACCGATGCAGAAGATTTTTTTGAGGAATCAGTATACTCTCTGATGTGTTGAATGCTTTTAAGGCCTCCGGAATTCCCAACCATAAACTTATACTAAAAAAAGGTGTTCCGGTCATGTTGCTTCGTAATATCGACCAAACCAGAGGACTATGCAATGGTACTAGATTACAAATCGTAAGGCTTGGAAGACATGACATTGAAACACGAATCATATCTGGTAGATTTTTCAACGAGACTACTTATATACCTCGCATGAAGTTGACCCCATCCGATAAAAAAATTCCATTCCGTTTTCAACGTAGGCAATTCCCAATAGCAGTTTGTTTCGCTATGACCATTAACAAAAGTCAAGGACAGTCATTATCAAATGTTGGATTATACTTGCGTAGACATGTCTTCACCCATGGTCAGTTATATGTAGTTGTTTCTCGTGTAACAAGCAAAAAAAGGTTTGAAGGTACTCATATGTGACGAGGAAGGTCGTTCAACTAATAAAACAAAAAACGTTGTCTACAATATCGATTTCAGTGTTTCTTCTTCACATTTCAATAATAACAATAGCCATAAACTTTCTTTTATAATTATTATGCAATATATATAAATGTTTTTATATTTTTTTAATACGTTCCCCGCGTTTAACGCGGGTTATAATCTAGTTTAGTATGAAACTAATCATGAAAAAATAATTCTTTGATGCATAAATAATCGAACCAACTGATCA